TACTACAATAAGAAGAATTTCTCTCAAGCAGATGTTACAGAGGTAGATTAATGAATTTCCTGTCTCAAATAAATTTTCAAGTTGCTATTCCCATAGTTCCATTATTGTTAAATTCCTTTTCTAGCATTTTAATTTTCTGGAGAACTACTAATCCCTACTATTTTTTAAATGAAACTTCTCATAGTCCTATCTTTTTTTTCTGCTTTTACAGAATAGCTCTAAAACCAATGATTTTATAGCTGGGCATTATTAATCTGATACATTCTTCCTATTCATGTCATATACTTATTTTCCACTGTAGAAAGACCTACTTAAATCCATGGTCAGGAAATTCTATCTGCACTCTTTCAAACTTTAGCCAGGATATGTGAAATCTTTAATGTTGTTTTTTCATGGAATCAAAATGAAAGATTGTGTGTGCTATGTGCTATGTGCCCAGTCTGTAAAATATCAAAAGGCACCTTTTGTGAATGACAGTGCTGATATAATATTAGAGGAAAAATGCTTAACTGAATGAAGATTTGGAAGTCATTCTTTTTTCATTTCTACATCAAATTTTCTAGACTTTTAGAGAATGTGTTTACGGTATATGCGCAGACACACAAAAACATATACCAGTAAATAAAAACTTCAGCAATGTTTGATTTGTCAAATTGTTGGGGTCAGTAGTTGTGAGAAAGTTTTTTGTGCAAGATACACATTTTCAATCACTGCTAGAAAATTAAGAATATATCTTTGTATTATGGATTGACTTAAAAGGGAAAAAGTTATGCCTAGATATATGTAGGGATATTGCTTAGTAAAGAAAAGTAATTTCTGTTCTGTTGCTAATTCTTTACAGAGTACCATAGCTACTTAAATTACAAGCTATGCAACATGTACCTTGTTCTATTCAGAGAGAAAGCAGTACAGTATCTCTTAATAGGCCATGTTTATTGAGAAAAGGCCTCTCACATTTTCTCTGAATTGCCTGTTTCTATGCCAAGTCCAATAAGAGTTGAAAGGTAGACTATATGTTGCAAAATAAGAAGCTAAAATGCAGAGAATTTTACAGGTTTGTAGGATTGTTAGTTAAATATGTCTTGCTACTTCTCGATATAAATTCCCAGAGCAATATAAATACTTCAGAGGAGGGCTGAAATATCAGTCATTTGCAGATTTTGTGTTCATTCACAAAGATGGGGAAAAAATAATAGGACACAAATTGAAAAATAAATCAGTGGTATTATTCTACATTACTAAATAGCAAATACTCAGAATTCATATTCAGAAAAATGCCGAGACAAATAATAAAGATTGCTAGGATCCAATTTTTTTAGACAGATCTCACATTTCAAGATTTATGCACATTTTTCCCTTTGTCTAAAATGTTAAAACTGTCATATATATGTCATTCACACTGCTGGTAGTCCAAATGTGGGGATTTGGCAGCACATTACAAAGGAAACTATTTAATTTCTTTCTCAAGAAGACTCTAAATCTTTGTATGGGCCTGTTAAATGACAAGAATGCAGACTAAACAATGACCAATGCAGGTAACAAATACTGAGATAAGAAATATAACACCCCCACCCCACCCAAACCCTATTAGCCATCTTTTTAAAAAGATTCTAAGCTATTGAGAAATTAAGTATTCCAGCTATAAATGCCCTCATAGGCTACTAGTTGGAGAACTGTTGCTCTCTATGTGTTTAAAACTCTCTCATTTCTGCAATTAATAAGTTAAGGTAACTTAACCAGTGTTAAGAAGCTGAAAAGGCATGTTTGATGAGTGCTTTGAAAAAGAGCGAAGCGCTTCAATCTAAGTGCTAGAGGAGGAAAAGCAGTACAACTCAGAAAGGGCCAGGAGAGTTTGTTCTCTGTGCCACCTTGGGTAAGCGACTGTTCCCTTCTTTTAAGATTTAGGATTTAACCCATGAGAAGTGCTAAGATTCTGCTCGACTTGAGCAGAGTTGAACTCCCTATCAATAGAATAGGGGTGGGAGTCTTTTTGGGGGGGGGGACAGAATTTTACCTTATATATCCTCAACTCAAAATCCATCCATGCCTTCTTTTCTGCTTTAGTATTCTGGAACTTTCAAGAGAGAAATCAAAGCTGTATGAGTTTGCCTACAAAAGAACCAAAGTTGTCATCTATATAGAAATCTACCTGAGTGCCGAGATCCTCAACTTAATATACAATAAGTGCTAGAACTAGAAAAATAATCTTTCTTCCTGACAATCTCGGTTGACTCTTCTTCCCCATTTATTAATACCCATCTTATCCAAAACCAGTACTTTTGTGGAAGGGAAATTCAGAAAAATTCAAAGGGCATATTTTAGCTGTTTGATTACAATAGAGCAGCTGTTGTGTTGGCAAGCTAGTTGGTTGGCTCAAAATTGTCTATGTTGAAAATCTTGACTAAATTCTTGGCCAGACCTGCCAGACTCCCCTCCGGTCCATCACCTCAGCACTTGGGTTCCAGACCTATGACAGGCATTTCTGAAGGGTTGCATCATACAACACAGCAGCTCCCTAGACAGCCCAAGCCGAAAGTAGAGAAACAAGCCCTAAAGCAGCAGGAACAGTTGAACTCTGGAGAAACAGGGATCCTGATTTCATACTGTCAGGAAAATAGCAAAAGGGAAATCAAGACGCCACAATGGTATGAGCAGTCTAAGTCCCAGTGTTTTTCCAGTTTGATGCCGTAAGACTAAAGGCCTATTTAATTCTCACTTGCCTGTCACATATTTCCTTTTTCAGTTAAGTAATTACAAAGTCTTCATTCCAATTTCATTGCACAAATATTATGAAAACTGCAACAGCAAAGTCTCACATTAATACAATCCTTACTTTGACCTCACAAATAGAAAGGAATTGGTTTACATTCCAAATGTGACATTGAATCAGGAGAGGGAAAGCTGATTCATTGCAAAGTTGCTATGCGTTGTTTTGCCTACTTTTTTTTTTACTTCTACTTAAGAAAAGAAAGTGATCCTTCCAAAAAATACAAAGTCTGTTAGATATGCCATCCCATCTGCCAAAGTGCTTCAATCTTTGAAAATAATATTTGGGTGGTTCATTCATAATTTGGCTATTGATAACCACAATTGGGAAAAAATGGATTTTTCCTATGCCAAACTTGTTAAACCTTTGTTCAGCAGGGAATGACTGGACACAGGTCATTGTCAAATAGCAACATTTTGTTTTCTATTTCACATGCTTGACCTCTAATAATGGATCACTTATTTGTGGTCCAGGTTGCAATATTGCCCAGTTGCCTGGAAAAACCACCTTTGAATACTTTGACTCCATGATTATCACTAATGTAAATAATAATTAGTTTCTTAATAATTTTTAACCTTTACCTCTCCCTCTTCTTTGATTCTGAGAATTACGAGACATGTAATTAATTAATCCTAATAGTAGGAAACAGCAAGTGCTAACATCTAGATGCAATTTGTTATCTTGGTCTCATACAATTGTCTTGCTAGAGGTTCTGACAAAAAGCTTCTATTTTCTGTGTCTGAAATCCTATCTGAGTGATTACAATTACTGTATTCTGGCTATACGGCTAATGCTTTGTCACTTGAAGGATAATTATCTTCTGTCTACTTTCAACAAACTTTTGAAAGCAGAACAGCAACAAACTCTTGAAAACAGAACTTCAGTTACATTAACTCAATTTATGGCATCAATAGAATTCTATTTAGAAAGCATTCCCTATTAATTTAATTATCTTATGTTACTTGGATTTTGCTGCTTTAGAAAGAAGCAGAATTGGATGGTATTATTTGGTTAGGTGAAGGAAAGTCATACTACAACATCAAAGAAAGCTGGAAATTAAATCTCTATATAAGTGCATTTAGAATTAATTTAAAAAGGATTAAAATGTTAGGAAGGAGGGGAAGGAACAGTACAGAGCAACATATCCTATTATTCAAAGATATTGATATGTTCATATTAGCCAGCGGAAAAAAATATTGTACATAACCAGAGTAACTGGATAGATCTAGTTGAGTTCTGCAAATGATAAAGAAAAATTTCCAATTCTATCATATACATGCATATATATGATTCCCTCCCCCCCCCCCCCAATTGGAATATTAAGCAAATGTGACACAGAAAAAAGATTCTATTGCCAGGAATAAATAAATAAATTTTCTATCTTAACTTCATCCTGCCTAGAGAGATTTCTGTTCTGTAAGTAAAATTCTTTATCCTCACATGGACAGTAGCCTTTCTGCAGGTTTTTTTTACACGATCTCTAAGGTGGGTTGAGGATGGAAATATGTAATTTAAATTCATTGAATTAGTTTCTCAATGTTTTTAAAAGGGGGGAGGGGAGAAGCTAAAGAATAATGACTTTTGGAGAAAGATTGCTCAGGTTATAAATGAAGATATTGAAAAGAAAGTTAAATGTGAATACAAGGCAGCTAAAATTAACATTTTATCCTCCATTTAGATAATTCCTCCATATTCCCCCCCCCCAATCTATGCCTCCATTTCATTATTTTTTCTTGCTATCATGCAACTTGCAAAAGCATTCCAAATAATTCCAGTTTTCATTTCTTCGGAGTCTCCTGAATTCTTTAGGGATTCAGTCTCTCAAAAGGCAGGCAGGTTCAGCAATCCTCAACTTCTAAAATCATCCCTCCCCTCCCACCCACCTCCCCCAAATCCAGGATGGCACGTATCCCTCATGCTGGCAGATTTCATTCATCTTCATCATATAAAATACCCATTTTAACCCCCTCCCCCTTCCCCGTGCTTATCTCTATAACTTCATACAGCATTTTATTCCACATTATCACAACCTAAGGAAGCTTTCCTTCTTGTAAACGGGTTGAATAGCTTCTTCTTCTTCTTTTTTTGGATGGACTTTTCTCTTTATCACCACGTTTGAGTATCAGATCAAGAGAGGAAAGGTGGGGGAGGGGGTTGGGAAGGGAGAATGCCAGTAAAAGTAAAGCTTGAGAAGTGTTGGGTCAAACAAAGAGCTTGAGGAAGAGAGAAGAATGCTTGTTTCAGATCTGACTCAGGAATGGAAGTATCGATCCAAGACAACTTATCCGCTCTCCATTAACGCGATGTCTGTTTTGATTATTGCACAGCGCATGTTGTCACTTTAGAGATTTTCGATACAATTCTGTTTCGTTTTGTTCTTTTCCCACAATTACTTTCTCTTCAAAAGTGTTTTAAAATGCTAATGAATGGATTCATCAATGTCAGGGTCTATCTCGAAAGCAAGAATCTGGGCTAGAAGGGGAGGGAAACAGGAAAAAGAATGGAACAGAACAGGCTGGGAGTTTAAGAGCATCCACACCTGTCAACCACCATGCCAGGGATTTTGCCGTAGATTATCTGCTGTTTGTCATTGAAATACAGCATGTTGATGGGAGACATCTTGGTGGGTGTACAGCACGGCCCTGCTGAGCCCCGGGGATTGGCTTGCTGCACCAAGTGGGTATGGGGATATTTCTGCATGAACATATATTCACACTGGCCTGAACAATAGTTGGCTTTGTACCGCTTCGGGGCAATTATCCAATCCCAGCCGAAAGCTTCAAAGTCAACAGTCAGGGGGTAACGGCAACAGCGGGACTCAGTTGAGTGCTCATCACAGTCTAAGCCTAGATTCCTTCGGGACCGTTTGTTGTTCTCCAGCACACGCAATTCCATGAACGGGTGCTGCAAATGACATACAAAAAGAGAAATCACAGAGAGAGGCATTTAGGTAGGATGACTATTGGCCCCATGATGAGATAATAGTTTCTAGCTGGGGAAAACAGCCTGTGGCGAGAGTTTTGATGGGTATCAATTACATGCACATCTATGCCTAATCCATCCTCAAGTTTCATCTGTGCAACCTTTGCTATCCCCCTTTGTACCTCTTAAGTAAACTAATGCTATGAATATACATTCACCTTCGCAGACTTACCAAATCCAATACAATCTCTTGACCATCTTTCCAAGATAGCCCACACAGTTGTCATTATTTATTCCAATTATTTATTCAGTTTCTAATAACAGTCCTGAGCGTTGCTCCTTAAAAAAAAAAAAACACTCCAGCTGACACTATTAAGCCTGATGGTGAAAAATACCTTGAGTAAATGTAGGTCTGCTACGAAAAAAAAATTCCATGAAAAAGTGGAATATTGATCCATCAGTTGCTTCTAGGGGGGAAAAAAGTATTCAGGCTAAAAGATCAGTTTGTAGGTAATGGATGAATAATACTCTGAAAGATATTTTTTAATGTATTTTATGTTGTATTTTTTATTAATTATATGTGGGTTATTCTTAGTTAAGCTGTAAGAATTATTAGGTAAATATAATTAAAGGGGTAGGTTCCAAGGAAATACTTCAGAATGAGAGAGAGGATTTTAAAAAGACACATAGGAAAATTGAGATGAAACTCATATAAATAATTTGCTAAATGTTTTTGAGATAAATAATTTGATGAGTTATAAGATTAAATTAAATCATGATACAACACATGATACAATAGCTCTCTGTGTAAAAAAGAAAGCTAATTCTAATTTTAAAGTGTTACTTTAAAATATACCCTGCTAAATTCTGAATTCCTGAGAAGAATATTTCATTGTTAGATTTCTAACACACACTGAAATTGAATTGCCCTCATTTTTCTATGTAAATAATATTAAACTGATATAAACTTATCTTAATTCTGTTTGAAAGCAATGAATATTTTGTCTAAATCATGCATATGGCTGTAATAAGAATATCACTGATTGTATTATCAAACAAAAATTACCATTGTGCAATGACTTTACATTGCACAATGACTTTACATTGCCCTGACTGACATGTAAACATCTCTCAGTAGTAACACTGCAGTCCCCAACTGACCATAGAGGTTGCAAGAATTCCCTTCTTAAGTCCTAGCCCTGACAATAGCATAAACCTACTGTTAAGATGAAACAGATAAAAGGAAATTACTTCCCATTCTCCAACCTGCATTTGATTATTACATTATACAGCAATAGTATTGATTCTGAAAGGCAGAGCTCCCTACGGAACACCCCCAACTTACCCTAATGTTTAAACTAGGCCAGAGTTATATTATGGTTGTCAGACCTTCAGGGTAGTCCAGACAGGAAACCATAACCATGAATCCTAACAATAACTTTATTATAAGGTTACAATAGCAGACTCTTGAAAGTCTGACAGAACCTCTCCCTTCCCTTGCCTTTACTTTCCAAAGAACTAGGGAGTCTCCCTTCTGAGATGCTTTCTCCACCCACATACCACCTTTGGACTCAGTTTTTGTTTATCAGATTGTTGTCTAGGCTGCAGCTCTTCCTCCTGTGCCCCAAGGTTATTCTCACAGCCCATTGCAATGGCTGAAGAAGGTTGACAGATATGAGCTCAGCGGCCAATCAAAATATTCCATGGGTGTCCAGCTCCATTTTCAGGCCTAGGATCAAGAGAAGAGGATAGATAGCGAGTGTTCTCATTTACCCACCAGGCCTTCAGCACCAGGCCCAAGAGAAGTCACGGCCAGATCATTGCCATTGGGATCAAAAGCGTTGATTTCAATACCCCAGTTGTTCTGAGGCTGCTTGAACCAGTTCTGGAGCACGTGCTTGAAATCAATGCTCTGCCAGTGGCCAATGCGTGAATTCAGGTCAATCTTGAGTGAGCGGATACGGATATGTCGGCTCCCATCTTCTGTCACCGGCTTAAGACGCAGGATCTGTAGATAAACTGTGGATGTGTGTTGAACAGGCCTTAGGTACACCCAGAGCTGTGCCTTTACTACCTTGGTGAACATAATTTTGGGGCTGAAGTTGAAGAAACAACAATGTGGATTGCCTTCGATCTGTACCACTGGGTCCGCTGGCAGAGAAAGACAAAAAGAGAAGTAGTGAACAGACCTTCTTCATACCCCCAGTTTCCCACACTCCTGATACGTTTCTGTCTAAGGCGCAATTACTGTAACACCATCATGATTATCATATAAAGATCAGAGTTACTGCATAATTGAAACTTTTAATGCTGAGTCTGCAATGAAAGGAGTGTTGAACAATAAGGTTTCTCTTAATTGGCAGCATGGCTTGGCCTGAAGCACAGGGAATATTAAAATCTTCAAGATAAATGTATATTTTATGTAAATAAAAGTCATTAAGAAACCATTTACTGCATATCCAAATCATTTATTCTATATACCATATCCGTATTCTAAATGATGTAATACAGAAATAAAGATGACACTGGTGAATTAGTAGCCATTACTACTAGTGGCTTAAGGTGTTCCACCACTGGAAGATGGAGCCAAAAAGGCTAGACTTAGAAAAATTTAAAAAATGGCATAGAATAAAGTACAATAAATAACATCTACAGTTTTAGACATTAAGATGATTGTGCTGCCTATTAAATTCAAGACCCAGATTTGAATTCACTTCCATTTTCAGAAAAGGGGCTTGTAACTCAGCAGAAGAACTTCTTGGTAGAAATTACTTTTTCTCTCCTGTTGCAGTCTTTCTCTGCAACAACCTTCCGGAATAAAACTTTCAAGCAGTATAAGAAAGGGAAAACAGGAAAACTTACATCCCTTGCTACTACTCCATGAATGGGTTATCAGATAATTTGGGTGTATGGTATAGATGATGACTAACCTTATATACTCTATAAAAAAATAAAAGTAGGATCAAATATGTAATAGGCAGGAGAAAATAATACCAGGTCTTTGGGAAGGACACTACAGGTGGATAAAAATGCCAAATCTGGTTTAACCATCTGCCTGACTGTGATGAACCGTAGATAGAGTCAGCCAACATAACTGTGTGGATAAAGAGCCTGATTCTTGGGAACGACTCCATAGGTGGATAAACATGCCAAATCCAGTCTCAATATCTGGCTGACTGTGTGATGAACCATAATAATCCCAAAAGAACTGGAGCACCACTTGAACACCATTGGCTTCGACAAATTCACCCTCAGTCAATTGCAAAAGTTGGTTTTACTCTGAATCGCTTGCATCCTGCGACAATACCTCTAACACCACCAAACATCAACATCTGCATATCCCAGGTCTTTGGGAAGGACTCTATAAGTGGATAAAAATGCCAAATCCAGTCTCAACATCTGGCTGACTATGCAACGAAAATAATAATAATCCTAATTTGGGCCTGAACACCTTAATTTTACAAAAAATACCTTGCTTGGAACTGCCTATAATAATAATCTGCCAATAATCATAATAATAATTCTTAGATCCTTGATGTGGTCTTGAATTATTAGATTGTTACCATCTTTGAGTGTAAATCTAATTGGAGATTAATTATATAATCATCACCATCAGTGGCCAACCATAACAGCACCAACAGACATATTATAGAAAATGGGATAATGAAGTAATAAGAATGGTATATTTGAATACCTGCAAGAAATACCACTTGCCTGAAAGCCCAAAACTGGTTGGGCCACAAAATAGACAAAGTAATAGAAAACCAATAAACTAAAGTGTCCCGGGACTTTAGAATTCAAACAGTCAAGCATTTGCCACATACAACACCCCGGATTTAGCAATTATTGATAAGAAAGACAAAAAAAGTTACCTTAAATGCCATGGAGAAAGGGCAATGTAATGGTACGTAAAACATATGTTTTACTTGGAAGCAAGTCTCTTGAGTTCCATGGGGCATTCTAGATATAAATGCATAGGCTTGCAATGGTAATTCATAATGAAATGCAGTAGCAATATGTTGGGACAGGAAGCAGGAATAAATGAAGCTATTATCTGATTTCAATATAGAGCTCACCAAAAATGTGCTGGTAGAAGAGCTTTAGAAGAACTGAATGTAGCTAGAAGATAGCCAAGCCTCTAAAGAATTTTGAGGAGTTTGCCAAAAGGATTTTTAAAAAACCAACCTCAAGTCAGTCAAATCTGTTCTTCTCTTTGTAAGCATAAACTCCTTTCAACAACCATTGTGTTATTCTCCAAAGGGAATCCATCATGAAGAGTGCATGATGATAATGCAGGTAGACCTCGGCTTAACCGCAATTCATTTAGTAACCATTGTTACAACAGCACTGAAAAAAGTGACATGACCATTTTTCAGATTTGTGACTTTTGCAGCAGCCCCATGGTTATCTAATTAAAGTTCGGATGCTTGCAGTGATTCATATTTATGACAGATGCAATGTCCTGGAATCACCTTTTGCAAAGTGAAGTCAATGGGGAAGCCTAATTCGCTTAGCAAATGTGGCAAGTAAGGTTGTAAAGTGGGGCAAAGCTAACTTAATGTCTCGCTTAACAACAGAAATTTTGGGTTCAGTTATGGTCGTATGTCAAGGACTGCCTGTATTGTGTTGTTTAAATTAGAGTTTTAGCTCTGTAGCTCATCTTTTTGTAGTCATAATGTTTATCAAACTGTATCACAATAAGTTTTTGTCTTTTTCTAAAACATTATAAATTATTATCTTTTGTCAACAATGTGAAGTCACAGCTGCTGGTACTTTAGCATATACACCAAGTTCTTCCCAAGAATCTAGGATGCCATAATCTGTCAGCATAGTATATGTGTGGATCCAAGTGGCGTGGCCCTTTACAAGTGACAGATGGAAATTTCTAAGTGCCATTTAATATATTTTGGTCAACACACTGTGCCAACTGAGACCACCACAGCTGGTTTATGCCATTCAATTTTCAGATCTTGGTATTTTCTGATCTTTTCCAGATGTTTGTCTTTTATTCTACTATCTACTATCTGGTATGGCCACTTCAATTAGCCACACTTTCTTCTTTCAAGCCACTTCATATCTGCTATATTATGAGCCAAGACTTTTATCGGTCTGTTATTGCGGTTCGTCGCAAAGTCAGCCAGATGTTCAGACTGGATTTAACATTTTGTCCACCTATTAGTTATAATTCATCACACAGTCAGCCAGATGTGTAGACTGGATTTGACATTTTTAATAAGTGGATAAACATAAGTGGACTCAATGTCCTTCCCAAGTATCTGGAATAGGCAAATGTTGTTTGATGGTGTTAAAGGTATCATCTCCAGCTGTTCCAAGAAAGCTGCCTTTTATAATCGACTGATAGGGATTTTGTCAATGCTGATGGTGTTCAACTGGCGTGCCAGTTGTTTTGGGATTGCACCCAAGCTGCCTGTTACTGTTGGTACTATCTTTGTTTGCTTTTTCCACAGTCCTACATCTTTTTGCAAGTGTTTATGATTTTCTCCTATTCTTTCTCTTCTCTTCTGGTGCCTTCAGGTACTGTCACACCTACTATCTGGACCTTTTTGTCTTTCTTATCTACAGTTGTTAAGTTTGGCGTGTTATGTGAATGTTACTTGTCTGTTTGAATTCTAAAGTCCCAGAACAATTTACCTTCTTCATTTTCTGTTATTTGGTCTATTTTGTGCTCCCATCCGTTCCTGCTTGCAAACAAGTAGTATTTCTTGCAGATATTCTAATGTACCATTCTTACTCCTTTGTCATGCTGCTGTTTGAAGTCTCTCTGTGCAATCTTCTTGCAGGAGCAGACTGATGTAGAGCTCTGAGTGCTCTATGGCCTCTTGAAAGAAGTCAGCTTAAGAGCTACACAGCAATGCTGTTCAGCCCTATACACTAGCCCAGTGAACAATAACACCTATAAAAGAAACTGTAACAGACTGAAAAATATTGTGACAAAGGGCAGTGGTTCTTCTAAGATTAAATCATGCATATTCAGAACCCAGTTAATTTAATACAGTTGAACTTGGCCATTGCTTAGCCAGTAGAGTAGAATATAGGTCTTCTTGAAAGGCTCAAGTTAACCCCGGTATTCTTCCAGAGGTGTTAACCCTTTTTAAATGCAGCCTGCTACTAAATAAAATATTTGGCCATCATTGTGCAGCTTCAGAATGATTGTAAATAGAGCCAGATTTTTCTATACCAAAAGCATGAAATAACGCCTTAAATAACTGAGAATATGGCTACTTCTAAACGTAAATGGATATGTCCCTCCTCATCCCCTATCCCAACAGAGAGACCCTTTTCAGCCCTGCCCCAACCCATCCCCACCCACCAGCAAATAGTTATAATGCTGGGGATTAAACTGAATTAGCAATAGACTTTCCCTCTTTGATTAATCTCAAGACTTTCTCCTAATCAAGGTCAAACTTGAATTTGGGAGTAGAATTTTTCCCCATTTTAGCTTCTGTACTGTAGGTGGGTGTCATAAACCCAGTGAGAAGGACGACAGTTTCCTGGCCTCTCTCCTTTACTGAGCAAATTGATTTACCTGGGAGCAATATCAAAATGCTGCAAGAGCCAAGGAAGATCATAAGGATTAATGAACTGAAGCAAAAGTCAAAAACAGATGTAGCGGTATTGAGATTAGGAATAACATTGTTTCCAACAACATTAAATAGTCTATAAGAAATATTTCTAGAGGCTTAGAGTAAAAAATTGATTTCATCCAAGCTTGGATGGAAATTTCAGACTGAAGCTGGATTTTGCTCAGAAACTGGGCACTCAGAAGCTTTTCCATAATTAGTATTATGAACTTTGTTACCATGAAGAAGCAAGACAATGGGCTTGTTTAGAAAGCAAGGAGTCATAACTTTCACCTGGTAGTCCTCTACTTAGGACCACAATTGGGATTGGAACATCTGTCACTAAGTAATGCAGTTGTTAAGTGAATCACATCTGATTTTATGAACTTTTTGCCATGGCAGTTAAGCAAATAATTCAGATTCAGATTCAGAAGTTTATTTGTATGCCGCCCTTTTCCCTGGGGGGACTCAGGGCGGCTCACATCCGAAAGGGAAAAGGGAAACAGACTTTTACATATATGACAACACATAATTAAAAGAAAACACAACATTCATACCATTCGGGAGGGT